CTTTCTGTACGGTTGTTTTGATCCATCGCCGGAGATCTGGAAGGGGGACTTTGTCCGTGAATCTCGGACCCGCCGGTCCAGTTCCAGCGAGTTGGTCTGCTGCTTCATTACCAGGTATTCCGCAATGACTGGGGATCCATGTAAAAATGGTGCTGCTCGGGGCGTATTCGATGGTAGCTTGAATCCACGGGTGGGTGGGAACTGCTGAAGCTAGCTCTTGGATAGCACTGAAGGAATCAGTTAGTATTACGATTGGCTGGTTTGCTGGTGACGTGGCCGCATGGAAGATTGCGGCCGCTTCGGCCGAGTAAACGGAGCATTGTTGTGGTAAGCTGCTGCTAGCGAGTATGCCACTTCCGGATACTCCGATGCCAACGCCCGTGTTGGATCGGGAACCATCGGTGTACCGGTGAGTGTGTTCGGCGTAATGGGTTCGGAGGCGTTCGATTACTGTGCGACGGAGGGCCGCGGAGTTGTCTCCTGCTTTAAATCGATTTTTTATGTGATAGTCAATATGAATGCTGAAAGAGAGCCAGTTCTTCTCTCCGTGCCAGTGGGTCCTAGCCACTGGGGGGAGGTCAATGCTGGCGATCGTCTGCAGGATTCTGTCCCCCTCGTCGAGGAGGAAGATTCTGCCGTTTCCTGCTGTCTTGGCGGCGAAGGATGCAGCTTTGAAGATGGTAGCGTTAATGATGCGGTACCGAAAGGGTAGAACCCCTGCTTCAACACAAGCGGAATCCTCGGGGGTGGAAGGTAGAAGGCCAGAGATTATCCTGATGCTGCTGTTGAAGGTTGGACCGAGGATCTCAACCTGCTTCTCAGAGTTGATACACGTGAGCTCTGTTCCATACAGCAGCCTGCTATCGATGATAGCTTGCGCTACCCGGAAGCGAACTGCCCGATTATTAGTGCGATGGGGCCTGGAGATGGTCCGGATCAGGTTAACTCTGCTTCGGCAGTCTTTTTTGACCTGGTTGAAGTGCGGCACGAAGGAGAGGGTGCGGTCCACAAGTACCCCCAGGATACGAATGGATTTCTTGATGGGGATAGCCTGGTCGCCAATCTTAATGGCGGTCCCGTTGACCCGGTGTCTTGAAGGGCAGACGTGGCATCTGATGCTTTTTTTTGGCAGAGAGCTGATAACCGGCAGTTTGGGCCCATTTTACTACGACTGAGACCGCGGCTTGCGTGAGGTTCCGGGTGCGTGTTGTGGTGGGCCCCGTTACCACGATGAGGACATCGTCGGCGTACACAAAGATGCGGACGTTCTTTGGTAACTGGCGGAAGATTCCGTTCATCGCGTAAGGAAGAGTGTGACGGAGATCACTGATCCCTGGGGGACCCCCGTTGCCTCCTGAAAGCTCCTGGATTTGGCATTTCCGATAGCAACATGGAAAATACGGTCAGTGAGGAAGTTCCGAACGAAGTGGACCATGTGTCCGTTAAGTCCCCAGCTGACGAGTTTGGCAAGTACAGCCGGAGTCCAGGTCCTGTTAAAAGCCTTAGAGATGTCTAGTGAGACCATTTCAGTGTGGTGTCCCTGGTCGAAGGCGTCTTTCAGCACGTCTCCCAGTGTGGCGAAATAGGTAGAGGTGCCGAATCCTGACCTAAAGGCGTGTTGTCGATGGTCGAGAAGATTGTTGGTCTCCAGGAATGTCCTGAGTCTGCGATTAACCATCCGCTCGAAGACCTTGCTCATGCAGGAAGTGAGTGCGATGGGCCGGAACTTCGTCGTGTCCTTCGTGTTTTCACTCGTCTTCGGGATTGGAATAACCAGGCTCTCCCTCCAGGATGCTGGATAGGAGTCGGTGGTCCAGAGCTTGTTGAACAGGTCGAGCATCAGGACTTGCCCTTCGATCGGTAGGTGTGATAGTAGGGGGTACCCGAGTTCGTCGGGACCCGCCGATTTCCCCTTGCTCTTGCTTAGTGCAAATTTCAGCTCTTCCCATGAGAAAACCCCATTTATCCTGGTGTTATTGTTATCATTCGGAACGTTGAAGTTACCTATGGAGGTCGGTGTGGCGTTGTTGCGGCGACGGAAGTTCTCGCTGTATCCGGGAATAGCCGAAAGCTCCGCGAAGTATTTGCCTAACTCATCGGCTACGGCTGTTGGCTCTGATACGGTGATGCCACCGGACTGCACTTGCAGTGGGGCTGAACGTCTCTTTCCGCTTAGCGCATTTACCCGGTTCCAAATGTCTGCCGAGGACTGGGAAGCGTCGATGCTGTCGAGAAAGTTCGTCCAGCTCTCTTGCTTGGCACTTCGAATCGTTTTCCGGCATTGGATGTGAAGTTCACGGTAACGTTCGAGGATGCCGTCTCTGTCAGGGTCGTCTGGTCTAGTCTTTCTCAACTTACGGAGGGCCTTTCGTCGGGCCTTCACCGCTGCCTTGGTTTCGTCGGACCACCATCTGAGAGCCTTCCGTCCGGGGATGCTGCTGGTTTTGGGTATTGAGGCGACAGCTGCTTCGAGGATTAGTTTCGTAAGGTCGGGGATATTGCCTGGATTCTGCTCCTGGATACCGGTGAGAATGGCGTTCCTGTACACCTCCCATTCGGCTTTGTCATACATCCAGCGTGGTCTACGGGTGGTTTCTGGGGCTGTGGCAGATGAGAGTTGGATCTGGATCGGGTAGTGATCGCTGCCGTACAGGTCAGCGTTGGTACACCACGTAACCTTTCCAGCCATGGAACGGCTGACCGTAGAAACATCGATAGCGGTGGCGTGTCTCCCATTAAAGAACGTCGGGTTTCCATGGTTAAGGACCGTCATGTCCTCCTGCTCGAAAGTATCCATAAGGAGGCTTCCTCTGGGATCCAAGCGAGGGCAGCCCCAGGACGGGTGGTGCCCATTGAGGTCACCAACGAACATCCTCGGTTCGGGCAACTTCCTGAAAACATCCGTCATTTTGTTGGCAAGATTTGACACGTACGTTCTCCCGCATGGCAGATACGCACAGGCCACCGCAATGTTCGCTGGCTCTTCCAGTTGAACGGCGATGATTGGAAGATCGTCCCCTAGGTGGATTTCGCTGAATGGTATATTCTTCAGGACTCCGATGGCCACAGAATGCCGAAAGTTCCTTCCTCTTTTTAGGACCCATGTGTATTTTCCGCCAAGCGAGCGGTTCTTCTGGTCCACCGTCACCTTGTTGACTTCGATAGAGAAAGACGATTAAACGCCACAAAGCAAAGAATGATCAATCTTGAAATAAATTCACGCTAAAAAAAGTTGAAAATAGTGACTTATTACAAGAAAAAGTGACTGTAGTGACTTGGCCTTAAAAAAAGAGACTTTTTATTGACTGGCTTGAAAAAAAATGACCGAGGCACTAAAAAGTGACTCGCTACCAGCCCTGAGGATATATTCTACAGAGCGTTGCACAAAATTATTCAATTTTCGATTGTTGCTTCCTATCATATATGAGTGAAATCTCTCTTTTGAAGTCTTTCACAAATTTTACTATCTTGAACAACTACACCGGAAATGTCTTGATCTTTGTTACCAAGCCTGTGCAGATGTATTTCGTTGTGCTAGAGCAAATATTTCGTGAGAACATAGCGAGAACTCAGCTGGCAAATAACAATAATATTCCCTGTCCACTTTCACTCTTCATACGCAAACTTTATTATAATTATTTAAATCTCAACAGTTAACCAGCGTCTGGCTGAAAATTTCCTTAATAAAGACAACCAACGTCAACAATTAAATTCAACCCCAATCTCAACCGCATTTGACGGTTCGATTGGAACTTTTGGCTTCAGTCTTGGCGCGTCTCTTATTTAACATCGTCTCTGATCGTGAGATGATCTAATTGGCTTTTATTTTTTATTGTAAAAACATATTGATTTATGTTATGTGGATCAACCGGAAAGAAAACTCTGTCTCTTTCATCCTCATCACTTCTTACGCGAGAAGTGAAAGTATGAATGATAAGGAGTGAAAAAGAAGCACATGCCGATCCTTTGTAGATCGAGGATCATCGTCAATAGGACGATGTTGCATCCATTTAGTAGACCTAACTTGAGTACAGTAGACCGACATTACATCCAGCTACCTGGTAAGTTATCCCAAAAAATAAAAATATCTGACACAGTTTGACAGTGAAATATCGACTGCAGCTCAATTATTCTATAAGATACGGCATAAAATGTAAATGAAACATTCACATATACCCTATGTGTGGACTTTTACTAGCGTATGATAACACATGTTCAGTGTATTACAGGTTTACATGTAGCATCCAAGCCATTTTGCTCAGTAAATATCAATTGCAAATAGTTAGATCGGCATCCAAAATTGGAGTTGCATATCGTCAGCAAATACATTCCCGTCAACAGCTTTCATCTACATTCATTCCCCAACTCGGGGTCAAACGATTACAAGTTCACTAAAGGCAAACAGTTTCAGTATTGATACAAAATATTTGATGATCTGTATCAAATCCAAAAGGGACCATTCCAAATAGTACCGAAAAGCTTCACCATAGCATAACAAATATTGATCCATCCTTTTATTGAAATGTTACTGGCCGTACTCCATCAAGCCAACAGCTTACGACGATGATGGCCAGCCTGAGAGTAATAATCCGGAATCCATCTCCGGAATCAACCCACCCGCACAAATTTATTAGTTTATTCAATCTTATCAATTTATTACCGACGTTGCTTCCATCGCTGCCAGCCCATTCTCCTATTCTAATTTTGATAAATTCCTTTCCGTCTTCGATTCCCGTGGTCTTGCCATAAGGCCATTCCCATCACCCATCACCAAGACTCTGTTGTTCTTATTTTTTATTGCTCGTCATCCTACTTAGTGAATGGTAGGATTTATTACCCAGAATCACTCAAATCGATTTCCTTCTCTTGAGATATCTGTTATACAACCCACCCAGAGTGACCCGAACAAAAAGTGCACATTTTATGTACGTTTCCATATTTGTCTTCTCTACTTTCTGCTTCCATGTTTGCTGTCACGACTGCCACCACCGCGGGATCAGAATCAAATCTCGTGGATCCGACGGCGGGACTGGCACATCCTCTCGTCCGGAGCGCAGATGTACACCAACGACGAACGGTTCGCAATCCTGCACACGCCCGGCTCCAACACCTGGACGCTGCAGATCAAGTTCGTCCAGCGGAGGGATCACGGTACCTACGAGTGTCAGGTGAGTCAATCAAAGAATCTTAAATTCCAGTAACGAACAAATTATCTGCTCCAGTGACTGCGAGTCCACCCATTACGATTCAGCAAAGAAAGAAACCAACTTAATTGATTTGCGAGCAAGCCAATTTTTCAAAAACGCTTTCCTACGAAGGCAAATAAATTGCATTACGTTGCTCACTTGGAGTTACCCTCCCTTTGAAAAAAAAAATCCGATTTATGTGGGAATCAAACGGAATTTGGTAGCCTGCAGGCATGTACGGAAAAAAAAATCCCTAACTGGATTCCAAACTTCGAGAACAAAAGACGACTGTATCAAATTTATTTCCTATTATTCGCCTATTTTCCTTCGGTTAGTTTTCTCTCTTCGCTCCTTCCACCGCCGAACCCGATTAAACGAACTTTTCAATTTTTGCAATTAACCTAGATTTCACTTCCCATCGCCCGATCCGATTGCGACGTACCTCTACTTCACCCAACCATGAAAAATAAAACTCGTTGATTTCCTTCCCGGAGGGTACTTATGGGTGACATTCTACCCGCAGAAAGAGAAAAAAAATCCTTCCCCTCCAGCTGCATCCGTTCAGGCAGGACTCGGTTCAAAGTTTAAATTATTCTTCCATTTTTTTCGCGCCCACTGCTATTCCATCTCACGTCACGTCCCGCTTAACGAGCGAAAAGTGCTCCGGTCGAGTCACCCATCCACCTGTCTGTCCTGCTTTCCCAAGGGGTTTTTTTTTCAGTATAGAATCAAGGGATTTGGGTTCTCGTAGTTCCTTTTTTTATTTTGCTCAGCTGCTCCTCGGGGGATGTTCTGCTTCTGCTGCTGCCACGGTGCGGTTACATGCGACAATTTCCAATTACGGTCACATTAGTGGAGATAATTTTACTCAGTTTCGTTTGTCCCCGGTGGGAAGTAAAGGTTTTTTTTTTCTTGTTCCGGTGAGTTGTGGATTTCGGGTCAGTGGCAATAGCAAGTGGTAGAAAGGATGTTTGAAATGAAGCTCCTGGAAGGAATTGACTGTTGCCGGTAATGCAGCTATGGTGTTCGGGTTCTGATGTTCGGTTATAAGTTTGCATCCTAATACCCCGTACAGACTATGGCTTATACCATGTATTTCATACATCTAGTTTTTACTGGATATCCTATATATAAGTGCTCATTGCAAGACAGTCTCATGTAATATAGGCATAGTCCGTACGGGGTATAACCATGTCGTTGAGTCAGTTGATTCACGGTGTCAAGATTCGAAGAGTAGGCTGCGCGTTTGAACGAACATGACGCTCATTTTCTCTTCGGATTTTTTTTTTCATACAGGGGAAATGCCTAAGGCCTAAATGCCCCTAATTTGGGCCCATACATAAGTTCGATTAAATTTTCAATAGCGACCAAAAATATCAATTAGTACGGTCCCAATGACGCGTTCATCAATGGGCCCAATCTTAGATCCATAGACCAACATTAGAGCCATTTCCCCTATATTTTTGGATACTGTTCCGATCACAATTGCTGAAGCTAATTTAACGACTCAAAGTTTACAGAGTGACATTTTTATGAGTACTGCATCACTGTCCCCGAACGCATAGTGCCTCTACGTCCTTGCAAATTACCGTTGACATTCCTAGTTTCGAAAGTAAGGAGGAACCACAATCAGACTCGTGACGTTCCATCGTTCTTCGTGTTCGCGTCAAGCACCGAGGATATACAAGTTGCAGTGCTAAACTTGTTACTTGGCCACCTTGATCGGAATTGCTACACCAAACGTAACAGGGCTGTGTACTACGGGTTCAGTTCGACTTATTTGGTGAAATTGTTCTTTTTGTCTACTTTTATTATGCATGATGATGATAGTGGTTTACCACCCATTGTAGCACGGAAACTAAGACCGATAGCAGTAGGCTCTCTTCTCTATTTGTCTTGATCAAGCTTAATAACCTCTGATTGTCCTCAACATGTCACTGTATCAAGGACGCATGTACGGGACAGTAAAGAATCTCCTTCCAGCAACATGATCGCACAATTGGTCAAAAAGACGGACCCCTAAATAGTATGATGTCCCAATGAATGGGTAGAAGAGCCCGCCCTTTATCCACAAAATGTTATCAACAGGGAGTTGGAATTCCCACTCTCCCCGTCCAAATCGCTTCAATCGGGTGCCCTGTTTGATCATCCCTTCCTTTTTGTATATGTATTTAAATGTTTATTTATATGTTACTAGCTGAGTGTGCCCGGCCTTGCTCGGGATTCAATATTAGCTTGAGTTTATGCGCCGATTTAAAAAAAATGCTATATTGTACGTATACCCCCCCCCTCCCCCCTCTTAACTCAGGAGCTACGAGGATAATACGTATTCCAAGTTTGGTGGAAAACAGTCCAGGCGTTTATGCACAAACATTGACGTTTATATACATACCAGAGAGGGGAGGGGTTTTGAACCACCATAGAAGCATTTGCTGCCTTCATAAGCCAACCACATGCCATATTTAGTTCCATTTGCTTGATTAGTACACAAGATATGCAGAAATTTCTGTTTTATTTATATGGAAGCCCCTCCTTACATAGCGGGAAGGGGTCTCAAACCTTCATAAGAACCTTTCTCGGCCCCAAAAATCCCTGCATGCAAATTCCCACGCCAATCGGTTCAGTAGTTTACGAGTCTATAAGGGACAGAAATTCATTTATATATATATAGATTTACAATGAATCATCACTTATGCGAGTCGATTGTTATGATTATTGTCAATAATACTTACATTTCGATGAAGATGATGATACCTATTTTACCTTTTATGTGATACTTATCATCACAGAAGCCAACTTTGAATCGTTGACCAGGTCCATTAACAATACACTCGTTCTGAGAAGGGGCTCTATGGTACCACTCATCCTGTATAGCCATCTTCTTCTTCTACAGGTTGACTCAATACCCGGAATGAACGCTCGGTGCGGTTAGTAATATCAAATAGTGTTGCATGCAAACGAAAAAGAGATACAAACAGGATTAGTTTTTTAAAGTAATAGTTTCATATGAATACCCAGGTAATCATATCGTATCTCAGTGACATTGTCTCACTCTGAACCTACATTTAAAGTTTTTTTTGTAATTAAATGGTACTTGGGTACTCACATGATATGTTGTGCAAGTATCACAAGTTCAACAACACCCAACTACACTGAAACAAATCGACATGTACCGTTTATTGGATCCATCTTATAACATAGCAATGTCAGCATATTTATTCATTCTATGTGATGATTGATAGATTCCATTGGATTATCACTTAAAAACTATGACTGCGATATGGAATGATTTCTATCGTTATTTCACATACTTAGTACTTGATAATACTTTGCTTCGAACGTGGTTAGCGAAGGTAAGAAGTATATGAATATTGTCTGATATATTTCATGGTGAAAAACTGTTGATATGTCATGGGTGGGAACAGACATCTAGAAACTAATGGAAAATCATATAAGTTTGCACTATGAGAAAATTCAGTAAAATATACCTGTTTTCATGATGAATATTGCTCACTAAAATATATATCTTATAAGATAATCATGTATATTTTATTGGAGTTGCTTTTACTGATTTTTGACGTTTGTTGATATGTCGCGTGTAAATAGACATGTAGAAACTTTGTCTGTGTAGAAACTATTGGACTGTCATTTAACTTTGCAGTATAGGAAAACATGTATATCTCATTGTAATAGCTTGCTTTGATTTTTGACGTTTAAAGATTGTAAACAGATCTATCCCAATCATTAAATATTCATATAAAAATGCCTTTTAAGAAATCCAACAGCAAACATTTGTTTTTGCATGTTTTTCTGGGATGAATATCGCTCCCAATAAAATACATCTTACATGATTGTTCTTTATAAATTATTAAAACAATTTTCAACGATGTTAACGTACACTCATTCATATGATAATTGGTTCCAGAAAAGAACGTATTGAGATTGAAAAAAAAAATGATTCTACTGTAATATTTACTTTGCTATGATTCTTATTGTAAGCCTTCTACACGGCTAATTCAGATTCCAGCCCTAAGTAGTACTCGAACTTCATGAGCCAGTTCTATCAAATCATATAATTTAGTCGTTGATTTATTGCACACAGGTGCATTAAGAAAGATTTGAACAAACCACACCACCGAAACGGAACATAAATTTGTCAGTGCTATTTGTCTTCACTCTAGCAAAACGAGCATAAAGTTGCACTACATTCCATGTCGGGAGAGCTGTTCTTACTTCATGCTATTTGAACGAGCTCAATCTTGAAGTCAGCCGTGGCCCAGTGGAATCGAGCACAGACACCGAAAGCATCACACCTCAACAGATCTTGATCGAATCCAAAATCAGCTACAATAAAAAAAAAGGCACAACTGTGAAAGCTCCCACTGCCTGATGTTTCTTTTTCGAATTTATTTTTAGAAATCGATTAAATATATGTGTCAAAAGAAGAAGTAAATTTCATGTTATTTTCACATAAACTTTACTTCGATTGATTTATGACGCATATATTATATTGTGGTGAAAAGTATAGCTAATGCTTATGGGTTTCAAATCCATTTCAGTTAATTATTTTAATTTAATCGATTTTCATTTATCATATGACGATCATATAAAAGTTACCAAATTATCAGCATTGTAAATGTATCAGATATTCATATAGAATTTACCTGACACATTTTCAATCATATAATTTTCAATGGATTATCTTATAGCGCAAATTTATTAGACTTCCACATAACAGGAATATGTCAAATTCGTTCAGTGTATAGATCGCTCAACGATTATCCCATTTACTCTTTGAATCCACCAATATTATTATCTACTAGGAAACACCAAAGAATATATAGAGATAAAACTCAAAAATACATTAACTGATAGTTCTTTATAAACGTCTTGTTGTCCCATATTGGACCTTTCCAACCCACAGCACCTGCACGGTATTGTGGGTAGCATTGGGCGATCTTGAGGCAAGAATCGATCTTAGG